TGCCACCGTTGGTCTCCGCCGCCGCCACCGTCACTCTTTCCGAGCTTTCTTTACAGTGCAATCAGCCATCTTGTGAAAACTCAGATAATTTTTGGAGGAAAAAACTCCTTTTTTGGTTCTTATTTCTCAAACGTACAGATCCTTTTATACACGCACATGCAAGAAGAAGAAGAAAACGACGTCGCTCCAACTACGCTATGCAACGTCGTACAGAGAATTAAACAGTTTAGTAAACGGAACAAACAACTAACAAAAACGTTTTCACGTTTTTGTGATATCAAAGAAAAACCAACAAAATAAAAAACAAAAAACCAAAGAACAGAAATATGCAGCATGTTCATAATGGCTTCATTTCTTCTGAATTAATCCTCCCGTGATCCATATTCCAACACCCCCTCCTCAAGGTGGGCATGGAGAATGCAGCATGCCCAGCTTGTCAAGAAGAACCCGAAAGCGCGGCCCACCAAGAATCTTGGTGAAGATGGCTGATGTTTGACCATGAGTCCCAACGTGCATGGGCTGAATAAAGCCAACCTTGAACTTCTCCCTCACTAGATGACAATCGATGTCCAAGTGTTTCGTGCGTTCATGAAAGACCGGATTGGCACTAATGTGAATAGCTGCTTATTGTCACAGAGCAAAGTAATAGGATAAGCCAAAGGGATCCCAAGATCTTGTGCAATATAGGAGATCCACGTGAGCTCTGAAACAGTAGAGCTCATAGCTCGATATTCTTACTCTGCCGAGGACTTAGACACAGTCACTTGCTTCTTGCTTTTCCATGAGATCAAGCACCCTCCTAAGTACATACAATTTCCTGTTATAGACCTCCTGGTGTCTTTGCATGTTGCCCAATCAGCATCACAAAAGGCAACAAGCTTAGTCAAGTCACCTTGTGCAAAGTTTAGACCCAAATCCACACTCCCCTTCAAATACCTCAGAACATGTAAAGCAGATTCCCAGTGCTTAGTACAAGGATATGTAACAAACTGACTGAGCTGCTGCACCACATAAGAGACATCTGGTCTAGTCATGTTAAGATATAAGAGCCTCCCTATAAGCCTTCTATATTGGTCAGGCTGCTCCAAAGGTTCTCCATCTTTTTCAAGTAGGCTAGTTCCATGTAGCAATGGCGTTGAAGCAGCTTTGCAGTTTAACATTCCCAAATCACCCAACAAGTCCAAGATATATTTCCTTTGCCCTAGAAAACCCCATTCTGTTTCTGAATTATCTCAAATCCCAAAAAATACTTTGCTACCCCCAGGTCCTTTATTGTGAAAGCTTGATCAAGATATTCCATCAGCTCATTAATGAGCCATTCACTAGACCCTGTGAGCAACACATCATCTACATATACTAACACTGCCAAAAAAATCTGCTCCCCTCTTCATAGTAAACAAGTAATGGTCAAAGGTAGACTGTATCAAACCAAAAACACCAAGCTTATCACATAGTTCTAGGTTCCATTCCTTAGAAGCTTGCTTAAGGCCATATAATCTTCTAATTATCTTGCACACCTGTCCTTCCTTAGCTTTGCTATAGCCCTGAGGTGGATGCATATAGACTTTCTCAGACAGATGCCTATGTAGAAAGGCATTATTGACATCTACTTGGTATAGGTTCCATCCTTGGTGTACACTGAGTGCAATGAGAAGTCTTACTGTGACTAGTTTGGCCACTGGAGAAAATATGTCAAAGTAATCCACTCCCTCAACCTGATTATAACCCTTAGCCACAAGTCTTGCCTTGTACCTCTCTACTGATCCATCTGCCATTCTTTTTATTTTAAACACCCATTTAGATCAAATGGACTTCTTTCCTTGAGGTAGAGTGGTCAGCTCCCAAGTTTGGTTAAGGTCTAGTTCATCAAGCTCTTTCTGCATGGCATCCACCCAAGCTGGGTGTTTGCAGGCTTGTCCATAGTGTGAGGGCTCTTTATCAAGTGAAACATTACTCATGAAGGCTGTAATGTGGCAAATGTAATCTTGCTGCCAGATTGGAGTTTTCTTGTGCCTGACACTTCTCCTCATCCCACTATCATGTGGTACTGCCTCTTCTTCATTTCTTAAAGGAATGTTGGTGTCTGTCATTGAGTTATCCTCACCATCATCCACTGCAACTGGTAAGACTTGATTATCCTTGGCTGTGTAGTTAAGATAAGGGTAGCAGTGTTCTAAGAATGTCACATCTCTGGAAATGAGTAGCTCATCAGAATCCAAATCATATTGTTGATATCCTCTTTTTCCAGATACAAAACCCAGAAAAACACATTTGATTCCTCTAGCACCAAATTTTGTTCTATATGGTATGCTTTGAGCTGCATAAGCCAGACATTCAAAAGGTTTGATGCTTTGATAATCTGTTCCTTCTTAGTCAACTTCTCATAAGGTGTTTCCCAATTAAGTACTGAGTTTGGAGTTCTGTTGATCACAAATGCAGCTGCCAACACTGAGAAGGGCCAAAATTTCATGGGTAGATTTCCTTGAAACATAAAGGCTCTTGCCACTTCCAACAAGTGCCTATGATTTCTCTCCACTATACCATTCTGCTACGGTGTATAAGCACATGTGGTTTCATGTACTATGCCCTTTTCTTCATAGAACTTTACCAGCTCTTTCTCTTCAAACTCTCTACCATTGTTTGTTCTGATTCTCTTGACATCAACTTCATATTGTGTTTTGACCATTAGTACAAAGGATTTTAGGAGTTTACTTGTGTCTGATTTGTTCTTCATGAGGAATACCCATGTGCCTCTACTGAAGTCATCTACTATGCTGAGAAAGTATGGTGTGTTAGTGATGGACTCTTCTTGGCATGGTCCCTAAATGTCTGCATGGATGAGTTCAAAGTTGGTTGAAATATGAATGCTGATGTTCTGAAATGGCAGTCTGTGTTTCTTAGCTTTCATGCACACATCTCAATTCTTAAAATACCTTCATCCCTCTTGTTGTTCTCCTTCAGAATCTTCAGATGTCTCAGGGATCCAAATAATGCATGTCCAAGGTATCTGTGCCAATCTTCTATAGTTAGGTTGAAGGACACTTCCATCTTTTCCTATTCTTTGAATATATACAAATTTCCCTCCAAAACCCCACAACCAATGATCCTTTTTCTCTCTTTATCATACAGTGTTCATTGAGAATTATCAAAATTCCAGCTAACTTTCCCTCCACTACATAGTTGTGCAATTGACATCAAATTATATTTGAAGTCTGGCATGTACAGTACATCCTGTAACACTATGTTTTCATTGATGACCACTTCTCCTTTATCAACAACATTCTTAAGAGAACCATCTTGCAAACAAACCATTACTGAGGCATTCAATCTTTGTAGGTTTCTCATGAGTTTCCTGTTTGTGCATATATGTCTACTGGCCCCAGTATCAACAATTCACTTGTTCCTTGCATTTTCTTCAACTGTGGACAAAGCATATTGGATATGGTCCTTTTCATCTACACCTGTGAAACTAACAAATTGTGCATAATCCATCTTGCTTGCACTTTTCTCCTTTGCTTTAATATATTGAGTCAATTCATTTAGCTGCTTGATGACTGAATCCAAGTCCCTTTCCTTTCCTTTTTCTTTATGTCCACCTTTTGATCCTTCTTCTGTGGTTTGTATGATTGCATTATTGGCATATGTTTCCCTTTCCTGTTCTTTATACTCCTTGTACCACTCCGGGATACCATGCACCTTAAAACAAGTAGCAATAGTGTGCCCATTCATTCCACATTTCTCACACTGCAGTCTTGCTTTCTCTTCTTTGCTCAATCTAACATTGCCCCTACCTCTTCCAACATTCCATTGTCCTCCACCATATCCACCTCTGCCACCATTGCTTCCTCTTCCTTGTCCTTTTCACATACCACTTGTTTTAATCAGCATTGCAACATTATCAACCCTCTCACCATAAGTGCTTTGTACACTCACTTACCTTTCTGCAGTTAATATCATAGAGTAACCTTTGCTTACAGTTGGTAAAGGCTCTATTAGCAGCATCTGATTCTTAACACTGTCAAAGCTATCATTTAGCCCCATTAGAAACTGCATTAACTTGGTTTCTGCCTCATGTTGTTGTGCCAATTTTCTTTTTCACAGTCACATGATTGAATTGGAGCTATGCAAGCATACTCATC